TTCTGGGAGTTGAAGTCCACACATCTTAAAGTTGCTGAGGTTGAGAAACACTGCTCTAAACTGAAAGACCTTCTAATCTCTGATGAGTAGGCATGGGCATCTGCTGGGGGGGGAGTGTCTCAAAAAGGTCAAGAAAGTGGCTACAACTATGCAAATGAAGCCCCACCCCTTATGAAAAGGGGTGGGGCTTCCGTTGTGCCCTGATGGCCATCACCTTGACTTTTTCAGACTCCCCTCCCTCCACAGATGCCCATGTAAGTAGTGATTTTCTTGCTTGCAGACTTGGTTTGAATATGCATTTGACAGACCGTTTTGGTGCAGCTTTATGGAGAGCTGGCAGGAAACTCCTCTAGCATCAGGCCCTCCAGTTCAGGAGCTCAGATGTAGCTGCTTTCTTAAGGAATCATGGATGTAGTTAAGAACAAAGCTTTCCTGTGTGCTGATTAGTGGCCAGTTAAGACATCTGAAGAGCATTGACAGAGAAGAAAATATGAGATGATTCAGACTGTTCCATCCCATTACCTGTGCCTTCCTTTGGCCATTCTGAACGGCACTTTCCAGGCTATAACATCTCTACATTTTCTGTACGTCCCTCAATAATAGGCAAGCCTTTTCTTTGATCTGGGAAATCTCCTTTCCCAAGTACCTAATATTTATGGTTGTTTTTTTTTCCAGTGCTAGTTCTATTTCTTTTTAATCTGGCTGCCTGGTCTCATGGCTGAGATTGATGTGACTAATGGATGGATCCAGAACTGTATTAAGAGAGAGAGAGAAGCTTAGCTCTAACTATTTGGCCATGTGCTGCACATCCTTTTTCAAAATCTGAAATTTCTATCTGAGACTTTTTAAAAAAGACAACTACCACGCACCCAGTACTGAAATAGTCTGAGAAGCACCCACTTCAAAATATCAGGAGAATGAGAATAAGAAGTGGTGAGTGAATAAGGGACAATATTAGCTCTTTCACTACGTCATGTCAACCATGTGGTCAGACCACAGGAAATTCACACAGCAAAAACAAGGCACTAGTTCTCCACAGTTTATCACGGACAATGTGCGATTGCCCTGGGGCCTTCTAGCTGGAATTATTCTGTATTATAAACTTTATACAGTTTTATATCTATTTTATTTTCCCAAAGAATCTTGGAGATTTAAACTTTTTGAAGATGCTGAAACAGTATAGAACTTCTGAGATAGAGATACTTGTTCAGACAGCATGATCTACTGCAAGGGAAATTATTAATGAATAATTAATACTATGAAAATTAATAAAATGTCTTGATTTGATTTGTCTTTTGCACAGTTTGAAACAATTCACTAAAGTTCAGTAACTAAGGTTTTTCTGGAAATGCCCATTTTAGAGGTTTGTATAAATATTCTTGTAAACACAAACCCCTTTTACAATCCTTATGAACCTTGTAAGAAGATGTTAGGGTTATGATCTCCTAAGTATAGTCCTAATGTCAGATCAATCTATGATGAATTCCATCCCAACTACATTGCAAAATTCCTCAGAATTAATTTTAATGGATCTTTGCTGGAAGATCTGAAAGGCCAGGTTGGAGACAGGTCATCCTGGAGAAGGTCTATCTGGTCACTAAGCGTTGATGCTGATTTGATGGCACATAATCAATAAAAAAATCATTACACTATGAATATTCACAGGGCATTTAATATTAGTATTTGCACTTTCAATATTTAACCTTTGAGAATTGAATGTGGCAGCATTTGATAGTCGGCACCTAAAACTAATTAGCTTTTGACTGTATTTCAGAGTATGGCAGATATGCAATCTTATTTAGTAGTTCAATGCATTTGATCATTGGCATAAAATGATAGATTGCATTTCACAATGGACAGTTTGTCAGGTTTCTTATTTGACCACTGACAAAAGAAACCTCCCCCTCCTTTCTTTTTTTTTTGGTGCCCTCGAGTCAGTTTTTGACCACGAGTCCCTGCAGTTTTCTTGGCAAGATTTTCAGAAGTGGTTTGCCCTTGGCTGCTTCCTAGGGCTGAGAGAGAGGGGCTGGCCCACCCAGTTGGCTTTGTGCTTAAGGTGGGACTAGAACTCTTGTCTCCTAGTTTCTAGCCTGGTGCCTTAACCACCACACCAAACTGGCTCTCTTACTTGCTAGTAAATCTCTACATGGACTACATGGAAATGGTGATGGAAGGATTGTATATTTAAAATACAAACAGATCTTTTGCCAAGGATATTTGTTGTGATTGTATCAAAGAGGTCAGACGAGTAGTAACTTCTGCACAGAATCTAATGCTTTATGTTGATATGCCTTCCTAGCTCTCTGTTTGCTACCAAACGTGTACAAAGTGAAAATGTCCATGGAAAAGGCTATCAGAGAAGACCAGGTGGAGATTTTGGAGTACAACTTCACCAGAATCAGCAAGAACCCTGACCGTGCCACCCTTGACCTCATTGCTGCCGAGGCAGGGCTATCAGTAGAAGAGGTGCTAGTGAGTAACCATGTCTTTGGCCTCAAATGCAATCATTTGCATCTTGAGGAGATTCATTCATTTCTGGACCACCAATCTGTGAGAAATTGCATGAGATAAAGCCTACCCAGCAGAATGTGATACCTCTGTGGTGGAATTTTCTACTCACAGCCATTTCTTTCAGTAAAATGAACCCTACTTTCCATATCATTTCTGATTTCTCTAGTGCTGGTGTTGACTGTGATTTAGAGGATTTTATGTGATGGGCAGAAATCTAAGCAATAAGCAAATAATTTGGCCAGGGGGATGAGGGCAGGGATGAAACACAAAGGTGCTATACTGACTATAGATCCCAGGCTCTCTTCCAGATTTTGACTTCTAAGATTTCTAACAATACCTGTGAGGGTGGTGCCCTGAGATGGAGCCTCCTAAATGTCGAAAAGCTTCTAATGGCCAGTATTACTCTTATGATCCATTGCAGTGGCCCAGGAAGATTAGAAGATAATGGGTCAAGAAGACTCACCTTTGTCTCCCCCTCTCTCCTGATGTTATTTGAAAAAGAGAGAGGAAGCCAGATCCATATTTATAGCAAGAGAATATTGCTGGTACTAGGTTTGAAGAAGTAGAAGGTTAAAAAGGTGGTGTTAACTAGTGCTGCACACTTTCAATTTATATTTTACCTATATACATGTGGAGGTGGAATTGCTATCAGTGAGCTCCTTCAGAAGAAACTGAACCCAGGATAAGCAGTGGGATCAAGGTGACTTGATGCACTTTGATACTTTAGCCAGTGTTTTCACTGGCATCTCTAACTTTTCAGTGCTTCAAAGTAGGGATCATAGGTATAAACAGAACTATGCTCTTCAGCATTATTAGTGAAGTTCCAGATTTTTTTTCATCAGCCTTCATAGTTCATAATTATGACTATCTGAAATATACAAAATGTTGAGCTATATTGCATTTATTTTCTTTAGCTCTGCATCTAGATTGCTATCCTTTCCCCCTTTTGCACTTTTCTCCCACTTTTCTAAATAACCCACTGTTTCCAGTTGCCTCAATATTAATTTTCTAAAAACAAAACCTGCTGGCTTAATAGCCAATGAGCAATTTTCCTTTTCAACCTTCCACAACATTACTTTCAGGAAATCATAGATGTTATGGAATCATGGAGGCATTTGTAATATTAAAAGCAGTACAAGAAGAAAGGATTAACACCTCTCTCCCATGTGCCACTTTTCCAATTAATCATTCCTGCTCTTCTCCTCCCAGCATTTGCTAGGGCTAACGGGTGCCTAGCCTTCCAGAACATATTGGGGGGGGGGGAGTGGGAATCAATCTATAATCCCCTCTGTGAATCAGAATCTTCTTACAGATGGAAAGAGACCATCTGTCTGTAGGGTGTTTATGATGGGACTAACCCTCTACGCAGTTTTACTCTCCTGATCCACAGTACAATGGAACGAAGTGGTAGAATGCTGCTGAGATGGTAGAATGAATCACAGCACTTTGGGCTACAGGTAAGAGACCTCAGTCTTGTTGGGTTTTTCTTTCTTTCTTTCTTTCTTTCTTTCTTTCTT